CCTGTGGGTAAAACACCCACATAAAGGCTAGGTAGTGGGCGGGACAGAAGACCAGACCGCTAGCCAGCTCGGAGGGGGACACGACCCTCCACAGGAACAACTCGGCATTGATATAGAATATATAAACATTATACAAACAACTAAGGCTAAGAAAACCTGTGAATCCAAAACTCGCAAGACAATAAAGATCTCAACCAATCAATGCAGAGAGAAGTAACATCCACTCTTGACCGGAAGAGATATGGCACACGGAAATATAAAATCCCTGAACAAATCTAAATTCAAGTCCAGAGAGTGGCGGCGAGAAAAAAAAAACCACATGGGACTAAGCTACATATTGGCGGCCAGCTTCTAAACATCAGGTCGCAGAGATTTCCTGATAGCGCTGGGCCTGTAAGGATCGAAGAGCCTGTGAACCGCTTTGACTAGGAGGAGATTTACACAAAGACTGGGAATTTTGATGACGCATAGGTATTAAAGTCTCCTCACTCTGGGATTGTGGCAACCCCAAGTTGAGCTCCCCGAAAGTGACGCCGGAGATCCGCTGGCGTAGAAGCTTGAAATTGACGACCTTGAAAGGAAAACGAAAGCTTGAAAGGGAAGCCCCATCTGTACTTGATATCAGCTGACTGAAGAATCCGAAGATAAGGTCTCAAGGTGCGACGTTTGGCAATCGTGACTGGGGACAGATCCGCGAACAGATGGACAGAATGACCTTGAAACTCCAAAGCCGAACGATTCCGAGTTGCCTGCAGTAGACGTTCCTTAGTGCGATAGAAGTGAAATTTAATAATAATGTCTCTGGGAGGACCCTCCGTGGACTTAGGTGCTAGAGCTCTATGGATACGATCAAACTCCAGACGCTCCAGAGGAATCTCAGGGGCCAGCTCCTGGAAAAGGGCAGTTGCAGTGCCCTGCAAATCGGTGATTGCCTCCGGGATTCCACGGATGCGGAGATTATCCCTGCGAGCTCTATTCTCAGCATCCTCCAACTTATCTTTCAAAGTATCCAGCTCAGCATGTAGATCCTCCACTTCTTGTTCGTGACCCTCCAGTACTGTAGTTGCCAGATCCATGCGTTGTTCCAATTGGTGGGCGCGGAGACCCAGCTCTTTTAGGCCTCTCGCCAGATCAGAAGATAATTTACGCGAAGCAACAGTAATCTCCTCTCGCACTATAGCACGGAATTTGTGTAGTAAGGCTTCGGGATGATGTTCAAGAGGATCAACCATCCCCGACGGAAATTGCCGCTGACTATCGCCATCAGACCCAGGGTCCCCTGGAAGTTGGGTGTTATCATCAGGCTCAGGCGGGCTGGGTATCAACTTGGCGATGTGGCCTTGTAAAGGGGATTGCTGTTTGGCCCGGTGTTTAAGTTTAGTGCGGGGAGTGCGGTGCATTTCCGAAAGCGGTCTACAGATTTCCAAGTCACCCCCAGACTATTGAAGTGTAATGTTAGGGTGTAGAAGCCCAATGGCCGAGAAGAATGTCATGGTGGCGCGGCCCAAGGAGGTCACTCTGGCATTTTCCCCCTTGGTTCGTGTACGTGTCCCCCACCGGGGAGGTATTCACAGATGGTTCAACATAATGTTACAGTCAGTGAAATATAGATGGTTATGATATATAGGCCAGGTATGCAGACTGTGTAGAGGTTGTCAGAAGATATCCCAGACACCCCTGATTTATCCACTGGGGAAGGGGACTATGCAGGAGGATGCCTTCTCCCAGCCAGCACCGTTCCTGTAGCAGGTCAGACCTCCAGTATCCTGCTGGGATCTTGCAGGGACACAGCACAGTCCACCAGGCCACCAGGAGGACCCCAGGAGCCCACCCAACCTGCCCCAATAGCTGACCGGACTCCAGGGGTTGGCGGGCAAGGCGATAGGGCGGTAGTCCGGCCACGACGGCGATCCGCTCCAGCCGCGGATCTAGGAAACACCGCGGCTTCACACACCCGCGTAGGCCTCAATCCGCCCCGCGCCCCAGATGCTCAGAGAAGGGGCAGAGCGACTCGACACCCCTCCTCAGATGTCAGATGGTGTCTGGGCAGCCGGGATCCGCCGTGGGCAGCCTCCGTATCTCGGATGGTAACGGATAGAGGATTAGGGTGCCGGAGCTTCAGAAAGAAGCGTCTGCTCCCGGCGCCATCTTGGACACGCCCCCAGCACTTAAGTAGGTTTCATTACTCACATAGCAGCTCACAAGCTTTCATCTTTTAATTTACTAACTCACTGAACATTTTAATATGTTGCCTGGAATTGCTCTTTAATGGGTCAAATGGTGTTCAGATGGTGTATGCAAGTCAGCTCGTTTTGTGCTGATGCTCAGGGCAGACAGGAGCGGCCTTGGTGCTAATGTGACTTTAGCAGAAGTAAGACTGCTGGAACAAGCATGGTCTGTACAGAATATTTAGCTTCACTCTTCTGCATTTGAGGCTTAGTGCCAGGACATAATTCCACCCTCTCACTCATTCTTTGGCTTGCTAATACTGATTCCAGTTGCCTATTTTATTCAGTGCATTAAGCTATGTTAACATCACTAGAAGGATTTCTAACTTCCCTTGTATAGTCAAAGTGAGCCGCACTCCTTCCAAACTCTGAGCAGCCCAATCCTGCATGGAGCAGAGCTGCTGTGTTTTTCTGACACTTCTGATGCTTGATTGTACCTAACGGGGATTGCAGACGCTCGCAATAATTTAAAGAATGCTGGAGAAAAGAACATTTTTGCAGGGGACGTATAAATAACGGAGCTGGGATTTGTCTAGAGTAAAATACACGCAACAGGGAGAAAAATGGTACTCGCTCTTGGTGAACACATCTTGGCAGTGTCTCACTTCCGTTCCATCCATCATCAACAGCTCAAGGCTCCGAGAAATATCACTACAGACAGATGTTGGACTTGTCGCAGATTTAGAAATATCTGCTTTCATTAAGTATAAATTAACTTAATCACCAGGTATGAGATAAGAAGTACAGACTGATTTCCCTTTAGCACTCATTACGATTAAACTTTTATAGAAAATTGCTCCTGGATTCTGAGCGACATGCTCTTGCATTGGTTTTTACATTACTATGCTGTCCTACTAATGATTAGCCAGCAGTTAGCTCACAAAACTAACAGAAGCAGCATTATTTTTCAATCCAAAACTGAATTTACTTCTGTGAATAATTCTGTAAAACTGCAATGCAATCATATATACTGAAATGACAATATGCTTGTATACATGCCTCTCACAAATGCCTACAATGAACACATTTCTTGCAAACAACTACCTACAAATAACACTGAATACATTTAAATGTGATCTAGCTATGTATGTGACTGACAAACACAATGAAAGAACTTGCAGGCATATGTGTATCAAAGGGAGGAAGGAGGCCTTCACTTGTTTTCTTCTGGTAGCTAAACTAGAACTGGATGTGTGAGTGAAATGTCCTGTTTCTTGTTTCAGTATTTCAATAGACTGCAATTGCAATGAATGCCCAATAGATGGCTCCCTACTCAACACAATGATATGAATACAAAAACACTCCCCTCCTGGTACAGATATATATCACTACTATATATCTCTTTTAATTACTGTAACAATTAACTAGGCATCTTTTTCTTCTGGAGAAGGACTAATAAATCTGAGACAGGGCAAGGCATACTTTAGCACAGTGGTTCCCAACTTGTGGAACCTCAGGACCCACATTTGTCCCTGGTCATTAAGTCACAACCCAAAAATAATTTAACTTCCGGAAACGTTATAACTTATTCCACAAAACAACTTGTGCAGTATTCTACAGTGTATATAAACTTTTTAAACCATAAACAAATCTTTCCAAAATGGATAGTGCAGTAATAGTGCTTGTGAAAATGAAAGTGTTGTTGAGGTAAAAACCCAGTAAATTAAACGGTAATTGAAACATATGAAATCAATTAAAACTAATGGGAAAACTTGGGAGGCTTCTTGCTCTTGATAAGTGTTTCAGAGTCTGGGGTGATGGTAGGGGCATTAGAGAGGCCAGGGAGGCACTTGTCCCGCCCAGTCTGCCCCTGGTCGCAACCCACTTTTGGGTCGTGACCCACTACTTGAGAAACATTGCACAGTCCCCTGATTGATGATTTTAACCTCTACTCTGCATACTTATGGCAGTGTCTGACTAAGAGAGTGATGGTTGGCTGGAATCACAAGAAGGTGTTTCTCATTCTCGGCCATGTCTGCATCATACAAACGCCCTCCTACTCTGATTAATTTGATTATTGCATTCAAACATTTGATTAAGTTTTGTGTCAGGGCTCCGGGTATGACCAGAGGTATGTGAACTGACGCAGGGAAATGCAGGCTTCAGATATGTTATAAACAATATAATTTATTAATACTAACAATACATAAACGCAGTGCAATACTAAAACATAACACAGTGCAAACGAACCAAACCACCCACAGATAACAATACATACAATGCAAGCGTAGTCAGGCAGGCCGGGTCAATAACAATCAGGCAGGTAGGAACAGGAGGAGCAGGCAGAGAGTAGTCAGGTCACGAGCCGGGTACAGCAACTAACGGGCAGGTCAGGCAGAGAATGGTCGGGGTCACAAGCCAGGGATAAAACAGGAGAAGTCAGTAGAGATCCGGATCAGGCAGGGTCGGCAACAAATCAGTCAGACAGGAACAGGAACAGGAATGCAGGTAACAAGATACAGGGGCCCATGGAAAAACACACACCAAGGCCCAGACTGCAGGTCTGGCCATCCCTTAAATACACCTGCAATCAGCCTCAGGTGTTTGGCTGACTGCAGGGTTGAGTCTCTGATTGCTGAGAGCACCCGCTGGCCAGCCCTGGTACTGCAGCCCACAAGGCAGGTGAGTCCCACCATTATTGACAAGTCCATTCTTGACAGTACCCCCACCTCAAGGAGCGGCCTCAGGACGCTCCAAACAGTCCTAGCTGGGCAAAATGTTCCACCGCCCGGGTCTGGTAACTGGCGAAATATCAAAGACTGGCACATCGGGCTGGCGCTGGATCGTCTGGCTCGTCAGCGGGCATCGGGTCACCAGACATGACAGTGGGCACTGGGTCATCAGGCATTGGATCGTCTGGCTGGACAGCGGGCATCGGCTCACCAGGTATGACAGCGGGCACTGGGTCACCAGGCATCAGGTCATTTGGCTCGCCAGCGGGGCACCGAGTGGGCACCGAGTCACCAGGCACGACAGTGGGCTCCGAGTCAACTGGCATGACCGCGGGCACTGGGTCAGACATTGGATCGTCTGGCTCGACAGCAGGCATCGGGTCACCAGGCATCAGGTCATTTGGCTCGACAGCGGGCACCGCGTCATCTGGCAAGGCAGTGGGCACCGAGTCACCAGGCGCGACAGTGGGCTCTGAGTCAATTGGCATGACAGCGGGCACCGGGTCATCAGGTACCGGATTGTCTGGCTCGACAGCAGGCACCGGGTCATCTGGCGCTGGATCGTCTGGCTCGACAGCGGGCATCGGGTCACCAGACATGACAGTGGGCACTGGGTCATCATTGGATCGTCTGGCTGGACAGCGGGCATCGGGTCACCAGGTATGACAGCGGGCACTGGGTCACCAGGCATCAGGTCATTTGGCTCACCAGCGGGCACCGCATCATCTGGCAAGGCAGTGGGCACCGAGTCACCAGGCACAACAGTGGGCTCCGAGTCAACTGGCATGACTGCGGGCACTGGGTCAGACATTGGATCGTCTGGCTCGACAGCGGGCATCGGGTCACCAGACATCAGGTCATTTGGCTCGACAGCGGGCACCGCGTCATCTGGCAAGGCAGTGGGCACCGAGTCACCAGGCACGACAGTGGGCTCTAAGTCAGTTGGCACGACAGCGGGCACCGGGTCATCAGGTACCGGATCGTCTGGCTCGACAGCAGGCACCGGGTCATCTGGCGCTGGATCGTCTGGCTCGACAGCGGGCATCGGGTCACCAGGCATGACAGCAGGCACTGGGTCATCAGGCATTGGATTGTCTGGCTCGACAGCCGGCATCGGGTCACCAGGCATGACAGCGGGCACTGGTTCCTCAGGTACCGGATCGTCTGGATCGACAGTGGGCACCGGGTCATCTGGCGTTGGATCGTCTGGCTCGACAGCGGGCATCGGGTCACCAGGCATGACAGCGGGCACTGGGTCATCAGGCATTGGATCGTCTGGCTCGACAGCAGGCATCGGGTCACCAGGTATGACAGCGGGCACTGGGTCATCAGGCGTGATAGGATCATCAGGCTGGATCAGTTCATCAGGCTGGGTACAGACATCAGGCTGGGTAGAGACATCAGGCTGAAGTGCGGGTACCGAGGCACCAGGCTGAACCACGGAAGGCAGATTCTCAGACGGCAGGCTCACCGGTTTGGATACTGGCAGGATGGTACTGGTTGGAAAGAATTTTCGCTTTTTTTCTGGTTTTAACTACTGGAGCACTGCAAGTAAACGCAGGTCTGCAAACGAATGGAGCAGCTGAGGACAGAGGAGAGCTGGAGGATGGAACAGAGGAGGGAGCAGTTGCTACAGAGGACTTCTTTACAGGGTTAAAGAAAGGATAGGTGCAGCGAGTGGGAGCAGAGGACTGATATGTGGTAGTTAGCAGAGTATACTGGGCAGTCACTGGGGGTGCTGTCGGGGATGCAGGAAGAGTGCTTTGAGCGGAGGAATGACGTTGTAAGCTGACTGAGGCTGGGTGCAACAAGTCTAACCATGTCTGCAGTATGGGTTGAACAAAGCTCAGCTTACACAAAGCCTGTCTGGTCAAAGACTGCACTGCGTTTATACAGTCCCTTAATACCTGTGGTGAACATGCAGCATAATGCTCCAAGAAGCAATCCACATCATCCTCTCTAATAACCATCCCAGGGACTCTACCTGGTCTGCACTAAATGGTGGCAAAAAGTCATTCCTGCTTTCAGGGGTACCAGATGAAGCAACTCTACACAAACCTGAATCAAAGGTTGCACCTTAGAGAATTCTGTGCCCTGATCTACTAGAACATGAGCGATCCGTATACATTCTAGCAGTTGATCCCGGGTATACTCCCTCAGAGTCTGATAAGCATATTCTCTGTCATCAAAAACCAGCAGCGACAAATACACAACCTCATCAAGATCCATCCTTCCCAGCAACAAGCCAAGATGGCTTCCCTGTGCAGCCACTTCTGGTCAGGATTGGCCTTGGTGTAATGTCAGGGCTCCGGGTATGACCAGAGGTATGTGAACTGACGCAGGGAAACACAGGCTTCAGATAGGTTATAAACAATATAATTTATTAATACGAACAATACATAAATGCAGTGCAATACTAAAACATAACACAGTGCAAACGAACCAAATCAAACCACCCACAGATAACAATACATACAATGCAAGCGTAGTCAGGCAGGCCGGGTCAATAACAATCGGGCAGGTAGGAACAGGGAGCAGGCAGAGAGTAGTCAGGTCACGAGTCGGGTACAGCACTAACGGGCAGGTAGTACAGGGGGTCAGGCAGAGAATGGTTGGGGTCACAAGCCAGGGATCAAACAGGAGAAGTCAGCAGAGGTCCGGATCAGGCAGGGTCGGCAACAAATCAGTCAGACAGGAACAGGAATGCAGGTAACAAGATACAGGGGCCCATGGAAAAACACACACCAAGGCCCAGACTGCAGGTCTGGCCATCCCTTAAATACATCTGCAATCAGTCTCAGGTGTTGGCTGACTGCAGGGTTGAGTCTCTGATTGCTGAGAGCACCCGCTGGCCAGCCCTGGTACTGCAGCCCACAAGGCAGGTGAGTCCCACCATTATTGGCAAGTCCATTCTTGACACTTTGATTAGTGATTTTTTCCTTCTACAATGAAGACTTTATCTCTTCTAAAAACATATCTTGTTGGACACATTTGACAATGACCGTTTCTGCTTACAAGAAATCTGATGGACAGCAAAACTTTTTGCAACAATGCCAACCTTTACATATATCTTTTTGAGTGCTGCTGGAAAATAATTTATTGATGTGAATAAATGTTGCTATGCCTCTCACCAAAGACTTGAAACTTAAGAATCTGAGAAATCTATGTGAGCCTAATCAGTGTTCATGCACTTTGGTTGCCAAGGCTGTCACTTCAGGTCTGATCTCACTGTCAGAATTTGGTTCAATAAGGTCAAATACCTCGGCTTTCAGTGGCTGCCTTGTATCTGCATAATGTAGGACACCTGTGCCTGAGAACCTGTTGGTATGTTTCAGGTGAGCTATTCGAATTAGTCTGGTACCGTGATCTGCTGGGTTCTGACTAGTGGAAACATAATGCCACTGATCTGGATTAGTCGATTTTCTAATGCAGGTTATCCTTTTTGAGACATATACATAAAATCTTCTGGAGGTATTGTGAATATAACTGTGCAGCACAGCCACCGGACTGCTTCCACCTGGAGCTTGTCTGTCAGTTTTATACACAATCACGGTATTTCAATCCTGGTAAGTGGCCTTTGGTCTTGCTTGCATTGACTTCCAACTACATGTCACCAAGTTCTCTTGACTTCGGGTTGTGTTTTGTTAGAGATTTTAGGGAATTCTTCCAGTTTCTTCAACTGAGTGTTCTCAATAGCTTCAGATCTGCTATAACAGTCCTCTAATCTCCACCATACTATTTTAACCCCAGCAGCTGGATCATGAATGCATACAGACCTGATTCTCTTGGCCTGTCAAGATGACACTGGTTCGAGCCAATTTGTTAGTAGATCTAGCTCCTCTCTAGTCCTAAGACGAAGATCTCTGATGACGCCTTGGAAAGATGCCTTCCATACCCAATAGTTCTCGGTCACTAATATTAGGCCGGTCAAGGCCGTCTTTAAAGCAGGGCAAAAGGGGCAGCTGCCCTGGGCCCATTCATTTTTGAGGGGCCCAAAGCAGCTGCCCCATATTTGCCAATTGTTCTGGTTTACATACCCTTGTCCCTTGAAGTCTTCCTCCTGCGCTGCATCCCGGTATCTCAGTGTGAAGTGCTGTCACTTATACTGACCATCTCTGCCCTTTTTCAGTATACAGATGGCCCAGATCATGTCAGCATTCACATGGAAATAACTGGCATTGATATGTAAATAGCGACCACATTCATATGTAAATAGCAACGTAATTCATATGTATATCATGCCTTCATGAGGTTCCATCCACCATCACCTCTGTTGACAGCTGCCCACTGGGGAGGTAAACAGGGGCATGCTTGAAAGTCCTAACTGAAACTGTGGTCATTGAGCCTACCATTTTGCAAAGGTAAGCAAAGTGGTGCGGGTGGGTTGTGCAGAGGTAGGCAGAGAAGGAATTACAGTTTGAGGTGCACAGGTGAGCAAGGAGGGGATGTACAGAGGTAAGGATTGTGGGTGTATAGATGGGCAGAGCAGGTATGTAGAGTTAAGGTGGATTGGGGGAGGTTTGGGATGCAGAAGTTAACAATTAGTATTAATAATAAACTCTTTTCTACCTTTAACTCTCTACTTTTTTCTTCATTACCTCCACACACTAACTCACTCACTGTCCAGGATATCACTAATCACTTCAAAAATAAGATTGATACAATTTGTGATGAGATCTCCACTGTACAGATATCTCCCTCACCCTACAATCCTTGTCAACTGGCACAATCTATACTTCCCTTGTTTAACCCAGCTACTATAGAGGAGGTTGGGAAACTTTTTTCTAAAGCCCACCTAACCACCTGTCCCCTGGACCTTGTTCCCTCGCAAATACTATGGTCACCCTCTGGCTTTATCCTTCACTCTTTAACTCATATCTTCAATCTCTCCCTTTCTACTGGCATCTTCCCCAACTCTCTAAAACATGCGCTAGTCACCCCATTCTTAAAAAGGGTTCACTGGACTCCATTGTACACTTTTTGTAAAGCGCTGCGCAAACTGTTGGTGCTATATAAATCCTGTATAATAATAATTAGTGAGCCGTACCTCTAGCAACTACTCCGTGAGCTGTAATGATGTGCTATGACTTTCAGCAAGTACTCAGTGAGTGGTAAGGCTGTGCAGTAACCTCTAGCAACCAATCAGTGAGCTGTAATGATGTGCTATGACTTTCAGCAAGTACTCAGTGAGCGGTAAGGCTGTGCAGTAACCTCTAGCAACCAATCAGTGAGCAGTAAGGATGGACTATGACTTTCAGCAAGTACTCAGTGAGCGGTAAGACTGTGCAGTAACCTCTAGCAACTAATCAGTGAGCAGTAATGATGAGCTGTAACCTCTGGCATGTTTGCCCAGGGTCCATTCAATTTTAAAGATGGCCCTTAACCCAGTGCTCAATAAATCTTGCCAAATTAGGTGCTTTGCTAGGTCAGTTGTCCCTGAGGATCCTAATAGGCCATTTCCGAAGGAGGATACATGATAACCCCTGTCGCGTGATGGATGCTGAGGGTTAACATTGTCTTTGCTTTCTTGATCGTGTACCATTGGTGCTGGTACAGTTTCAAAGTTAATGTGAAAAGCGTGAGACAGTATAGGCATATTTGGAGATGGCTGTAGGTATGTTAAGTCGGGAAACAATGGGAATGTATTGGTGATAGGTTTGATAGAAGCATACACTGTCATAACTTGGTCTGGAGCATGGTTCTGTACATATTCCTGAGACCTTTTCACTGAATCATGAGTTGCTATATCCTCAAGATCTTGGAGTGGATCTCATTTGGAACCAATTTCAAATTTGTATACCACCATTTGTATGGTGATGCTGCTGCCTTTTGAGTCTGCAGTACACACATACTAGTTTCAAGCTCTGTTTCCTGCCTCAATGAGGTGGCTTCTAATTCTGCCTCTTCAAGTCAGCTTCTTTTTGAGCATATAAGGCTTCTGCTCATGCTGCTTCTGCTTCTGCTTTTGCTCTCGCTCTGAGGCCTTCAGAACTGGCTGATGATCTGCTAGAACACACACTGAATATCTGAAGCCAGACATTTGAGAACTGGTCTCTGAAGTTTGATGCGGAATGTCTGTATTCCTATCTGGATCCTTGATGTATGAATTAAAGTGGAGTACAGTCCCAAGTACAGTTTTTGTGTGGATTCTTTCACTTTCAAATGAAGCTCCTTATCTTCACCTGTATACATATGCTTTTTTTTTTTACTGTAAAGCTTCTCTGTCTTTGCCTGTATAAAGATGCCTTTTTACTGTGAAGCTTCTCTATCTTCGCCTGTATACAAGTGCCTTATTGCTATTAAGTTCCTTTATCTTCACATATAAGCAGATGCCTTTACTCTTCTGTCCTACTAACAGTTAGCCGACAGCTAGCTAACAAAACTGACAGAAGCAGTGTTGTGTTTCATTTCAAAACTAAATTTGCCTCTGTGAATAGTTCTGTAAAACTGCAATACAATCCATAAACTGAAATAAATATATGCTGGTATACATGTCTCTCAAAAATGC